TTTTTTGAATGGATGGTATGTACTGTTTATAATTCTATTTCTTTATGCCAAAAATGTGAGATATTGTATCATAATTAATCAATAAGGTCACACATTTTTTGAGTTTTCCCCATAAGATTTCTGTTAGGCAAACCTTAATGTCATGGCTGTTTAGCATCATTGCATCAACTCCGTTATGTCTTTAGTGCCTATTTCTTGGACATGGCTCTTTTCTACATACAGAACAAATGAGGTGAACATAACTTATGCCGTCTAAAAGCTTACAATATAAAGCAGTCAAGAACGGTTTAGAAAATTCTAATAAGGGCACATAGAAAGACAAAGTTGCCATTTAGCAGCACTTATTTCATACTCTCTCTCTCCTCAAGCCTCCAGATCTCCTTTCTCATACTCACTCTCAGCTTTCTTGCTTCTAGTATAACTGAGAAAATATAAGCCACTCAAAAAATTCCATATCTTCCCATCACCAAATCTACCAGCCTTTCTACATCTGTACTACTTATTTTTCTTTCCTTCTTTCTATTAAAAAGAGATTTACGTCCCTGCTACTATATAACATCAGCTTTTTCACCTAGGTAGGCTAGATCCTCTGTCTTTTCACTTCTCTTATAGATTTACCTCTTTCAAATACCCTCCTCCTTTCTTAGATCATTTTTTCTTTTTCTCTGGATTTTCTACATCAACATACACTCAGGGTAGAACATATCTTTTCTTGATCCCCCCATGCTCCTTCAACTTCAGTTCTATTTTTTTTTGCTTCATTTTATTGCAGTCTTGAAAGAGTTGTCTATACCTGCTGTCTCCATAATTATCTGTTCCAATTTTCTCTTGACTTCACTGAGGTTTTTGTTTTCTAATACTTCTAAGAAATTTTTTTTTTGTCAAGGTCACCAATGGCCTCTATATCACCAAATCCAATGTTCAATTATCAGCATTCATTTTACTGAAGCTTGAAGCAGCATTCAACACAGTAAAGCATGCAAATAGTAAAAAAAAAAGAAAAAGAAAAAGAAATGCAATAGATATACAGATAAGCGACCACTTAAACCAGCTTCTTGTGTGATCCCATCAGAGCGTAAATCTGACATCCCATTTGCTTTTGTCTTCCTGTAGCCTCCCATCACACCTACTATCAAATCCAAGTTCTTTACCGTTGTTTTCAATACCATGCATGATGACCTGTCTGTGTTTACCTTTCCCGTCTCATCTCCCACTGTTAGCCCCTAATGCACTACTCTCAAGGCTTGCTAGCTGCCCTGCCATTCCTCAGACCTGCCAAGCATGTTTCAGCCTCAGTTCCTCTGTAGCTCTTCTTGGAATGTTTTTCCTTCAGGTATCTGCATGACTTTCTCCCTCACTTCCTTTCAGTCTGTGCTCAAATGTCTGCTCCTCAGAGAGGTTATTTTGTTGTTTTTAAAAAAAATTTTTTTTATCAAATCAAAAATGATTATACATATTTTTGGGGTTCAACACTGAGATATNCTTTCAGTCTGTGCTCAAATGTCTGCTCCTCAGAGAGGTTATTTTGTTGTTTTTAAAAAAAATTTTTTTTATCAAATCAAAAATGATTATACATATTTTTGGGGTTCAACACTGAGATATGTTGATCAAATAAATATTACTAGCATATATATTGTTACAAATCTCAATTATTCTTTATGCCTCTTGTCCAATGTCTCCCCATTCCCCTTTCTCTCCCCCTCCCCCCTCAAATTACCCTAGATTTCTTCTCTCCTTCTGAAAGAATAATGGTCACTCTATTGATTTGTTGCCTAGATGATCTGTCCAATGCTGAGAGGTATGATCAGGTCCCCCAATATTATCATAGAGCAGATGCATCTTCTGTCACTCTGAAATGGGCCTTGTGGAGACATCCTCTTCTTTTCTTTATCTCTGCTGGTGACTCTCCTTGTGTCAATGCACTCCAGTGGTAGACAGACCATCTGCATGGTGGTTGTGGTGTTTAGCTGCTTTCATGGCAGCCATGGTTATTGTCGTGGCTGTGGTGGGCCACCCACATGGAGGTGATGTTTTTGGCATGCTCCTTGGTGCTGGCAGTGTGCCTGATTATGCAGGCCCCGATGAGCTGGTGTGGTGTGCCTGGTCGTAGGAGGGGGGGTCCGGTTCCTTTCTCCATGACTTGGGCCCCAGGTGGACCCCGAGGTGCTGGAATGGTGTACCTGGTTGTGAGAAGGGGCTCCAGTCCTCTTCTCCATGACTCGCTTTCCTGGGCAGGCCCTGAGGCATTGGTGTGGTGTGCCTGGTTGTGGGAGGGGGGATCTGGTCCCTTCTCCATGACTTGGGTTCCCAGGTGGAACCTGAGGTGCTGGTGCAGTGTGCCTGGTTGTGGGAGGGGGTTCTGTTCCCCGACTCTACACCCTGGGCCCCTGGGTGGGGCCCTGGAGGCACTGGCAGTGTGCCTAGATGTGGGAGTAGGGTCCAGTCACCTTCTCAATGCCTTGTATCTCTGGGAGGCCCAAAGGCACTAGCATGGTGTGCCTGGTTGTGGGGGGTGGTCCAGTCCCATTCTCCATGCCTCGCGTCCCCGGGCAGGCCCCGAGGTGCTGGTGTGTTGTGTTTGATTGTGGGAGGGGGGTCTGGTCCCCTTATACATGCCTTGGGTCCCTGGGCAGGCCCTGAGGCACTGGCATGGTGTGCTTGGTTGTGGGAGGAGGGTCCAGTCCCCTTCTCCATGACTCGGGTTCCTGGGAGGGTCCTGAGGCACTGGCGTGGTGTG